TCAACTCTTCAACTCTTCAGTTTTTATCATAATGTCACCACTTCTTTCATTCGAATCATTATCATCATCATCATCGTCATCATCATCATCTTCATCATCATCGTCATCATCATCATCATTATCATCATCGTCATCATCATCGTCATCATCATCATCATCATCTGCATTGTCAATATCACCATCATCAAAATTTGTATTTTTAATTACCTGTCCGTTTCTGCTGAATAAATGTGTTAATCTATTTCATGAGTTTTGTCTGGGGCTGTCGTATTATCAAGCAATCTGCTTACAATGACAGTCCTTCTTCCGCAATTTTTGTTTAATGTTTGATAATGTGTGAGGAAATTTAGTATTTATGACAGTTTTTCATTTTGATTTTGAAAATAACAATTTATATAGCCTATAATGTATTTGCTTATTTATGATTCATTGTCAGAAAAAAATACTTATTGTACTTTATATTATTATGGTTATCGAAAAACTTTGTACTTTGTACTTAGAAAATAAAATAAAATAAAATAAAATATAATTACAGTAAAAGAAATTCATGTTTGTCCCCCCTCCCCCCCCCCAAAAAAAAAACAACAACAACACAACAACAACAACACTAGATCTACATAGACGTAATACAATATATATTGCATTAAAATGGCACAAAGTTAATGAGGAACAAATTGAAGTACATTTGAGCCTCGCTTGAGGTATTAATATTCCATTTGAGATTATCGTTTATGTGGTGGTGGTGATGATTGAATACAGCCCTACGTAAATTAAAGCTCATTCATTTTTAACACGGCAACAAATTAAGTTGTCACACTCCCCAAGTTAAGATAAGATTACAAAAATCTATCAGATCGTCTCACGCTACGAAATCATAAATATCATCATAACTAATTAAGTGCTCCATCATAATAATCATGCTTCCAACTCCCCTTTTTATTGGTTTTTCGAATCATTTTGTTTATTTTTTTTAATAAAGTGTAACATGTACACAGTGCCTATAAGATATACACTATTAGTATTACATTCAATAGTTATAATGCATATCGGATTGTTCTGAGATAACCGACTTACCAAAATTGGCCGTATTCTGCAGAAAGCATATGGATGTTTCGAAATGCAGGAAGCAAATGTTCCAATTATCAAACCGTAGCTTTTTCCGAAATAAACAGTGGCAACCTACCGTCTGCAAAACATACGCATTTATGATAACATATACGATATCATGTAGGCACAGGGTGGAGAAAATAAACAGATAAGCTGCTAAAAATAGAATACTGTGTCATGTGATTTTCATTATTATCATTACAACTGGGTTTTTCCACCGATGGCGGGTTTTCCCAATGACTGGCGTGTCGATTGTCGTAGGGGTCGGTACGTGACATTATCCGGCGAAAAGCGTATCCGGACACCTACCCCCTGGACAACCACCCCCGGATAAACATCCCTAGGATAACCACCCTCTAGGACAACTAACCCCTAGGGCAACCACCCTATAGGACGACTATCCCCTAGGATAGTTTTCGGGGGAATAGTTGTCCTAGAAGCTGGTTGTCATAGGGTGTGGTTATCTGGGGGAGGGGGTAATTGTCCGCGGGGTAGTTGTCTGGGGGGGGGGGTACTTGTCCTAGGGGATAGTTATCCGGGGGTATTTGTCCTAGGGGTTAGTCATCCTAGAGGGTGGTTGCCCTAGGGGTAGATGTCCTATCGGGTGGTTACCCTATAGGGGTGGTTATCCGGATGGCGGTTGTCTAGGGAGTATGAGTCCAAGAACCGGCGAAAAGTGCCCCGTGGTCAAAATCCCTATTACCAATTATTTTTTATATATACCTTAATTTGACCCAATAATACATCTAATCCTAACCCCACTATCCTGAGCTGAAACCTATTTTGATAAATGCTCCTATTCTAATCTGATAGGTGCCCCATTTGCACAAGTTGTAATAAATGCCCCTTTCTCCTCCTTAATAAGTGCGTCCTTTCCAGTGTGAGAAGTACCCATATTTTACCCCGACAAATGCCTCTTTTACTTTAACACATGCTCCTTTTTCTTTTTAAGTTGTGCCTTTTCCCTTCTGAATAAGTTGCCCTCTAACTTTTTTAATACGTGTCCCTTCCCCAATTTTTATTCAAATGCTCCCTTTTCTACTCTGAGAAATACCCCTATCAAATATTATGGTCGCCCATTTCCTTTGTAATGAGTGTATTTATCTTTCTAAGAAGTGTCCCTTCATCTCTGATGAGTACCCCCGTTTAGGTATGAGAAATGGGTGGGGGGGGGGGGGCGGTTTTTTCACCCCTTCAATACCACGTAAGCCTATTCATGATATGTGTTAAACATAGACGTACGAGGCAGTGGGGATCGATGGGGGTGGGAGTAGCTCGAAAGTGAAATTACTGCATGATATTTTGAGAACCGTCATCGATTTGGGCAGAGAGGAGATCTATTTATGAAAACAATAACCGATATAATAATAATAGTAATAATAGTGGGTTCTTATAGAGCTCATGTCTGCCAGTTTTAAGAGTACTGCATATGCATAGCCCTCCGCACTATTATTACCCCATACTCTAACATGGCTAACAATATTGGCGCTCTAGCATATATATGTATTTTGATGAAAAAACACCACCATTTCCACTATTTTCTCTTTTCCCCTTTGTTCCCTCTCTAACTGTCGAAGCAAGAAACGTTATATTTGGATTGAGTAACGTACGTCAGCCCCTCCTCCCCCCCCCCCCACCTCCGTGCTCAAGATTGTGCGCTGACTATATGTGACGACGCAATGTAGATTTAAAATGCTTACATTTAAACTTTCAGAGGCGGCAGACCCGGGAAGGAGGCACAGTGCTCCCCCACTTTATAGAGTATCCCAAAGGTGCCCCTGTCTACATAGTTTAAGAGCCCCTTTTATTACAGATAAGTGACCTTTTATTTTGTAATCAGTGCCCCTTTTCATCTCTGATGAATGCCCCTTCCCCATTTCATTAATGCCCCTTCTCACATCTCTGATAGAAGGACTCGATTAAAATCTAATAGGTGCCCCTTTTCTTCGACAGGTGCCCATTTTCCTTTGTAAAAAATGCCCCTATTCATCTTAAGTGAGTGCCCCTTTTCAGGTACAAGAAGTGCCTCTTACCACATCTGAAACGTGGCCCTTCGTCTCTTGTATAATTACCTCTTTGCCCCCTTTTCATTCTTGTAAGTGCCTCTGTTCATCTCCGGTGAGTGCCCTTATTCAAATTTGAGAGGTGCCCTCTTTAACTTTGAAATAAGGCCCCCTTATTCTTTCTAATAAGTGCCATTTTTCTTCTGAAAATTGCCACTTTCCTTTGTAATAAGCGCCCCTTTTCCGTTTTCATAAGTGCCTTAATTTTCCCTTAAAATAAACGCCCCTTTTCACCATAAAATGTACTAATTCAAAGCGACCAAAGTTTTTTTTTTAATTTTTTAAATTTCACCCAAAGATCTCGGATTTAAATTTGATATAATTTTGTTTCTTATCAAAGGTCTTTTCATTCTTTCATGATTAGATTGTTCTTAAAACCCTATCAGGGTTGTTTTTCCTCTTTATAAGATGCAATTTGTTGCACTGCGACCTCACAAATCTTAAAATTTTTGCTCGCTTGCTTGCAAATGAATATTCAAACCACCAAACCCAACTGCAAATCATGATGCTTAAGCATTATCTTGGACCATATATTAGAATATACTAGAATCATCCCTGATAAGGTAATCACAATGCAGGGGTATATACCAATTTCTAAAAATGGTATATTTCCACTTTCTCCCCAAAAAGTGCCCTTTTTTTGTTGGTCCCCCCCCCCCCCCACTTTGAAAAGCGCTCCGCCGCCCCTGCAAAAGATCAACAAAAATGAAGAACAACAGACTTCAATTTCAACAACTTCAAACTTCACCTATACTATATCGCTTTAGCTCTGATAATTCATATCAGTAATTCTAACTGTAATATTATAATCCTAGCTAGCGGTCAGAATGAGCAATTCGTGTCGAGGTTCCACGTACGAGACTCATTCAGAACTTTGGTCGATCCAAATTTAGTTTAAATTTTCTTTCATACTTTTCGGTTCATTTTAATTATAACATTTATAGTTTCCAGAGAAATTATCATTAAAAATAAGTACCCTCATTTCAAATACACGTACTTTATACGAACATCTTCCCTAATTTACCCTGTTAGGCCGACACAAATCACCACATCACCAACTCTGACAGAAATCGAAGCAAAATGTAATTTTCATTAAAATTGTCTTGAAGACTTTTATGTGATCATACCATTTTATGAATGATTGAAGATATTTGAATCAGAAAAACAACAAATAAAAGTATTCACAGCAAATGTTCATCTTTGGAAAATACTAGCTGAGATACTAGCTGAAATAATGTTAATCAGTCCCAGCACTGGTACAATAAAGCAGGTACTTGAAGTCTAAGCTTGTTTCTTAGAATACAAGTATATTTCTCATCATTATAATGATGGCCTGGAGGTACTGCATATTTGAATTGTAAATTAAAGTATAATTGACCAATGAAAATCAAGTGATATGATTATTTTGTTCTAAAGAAATTAAGATAGAAATGTCACAGATAGCATGCCTGTTATTCAGAAAAGGAGCTTTTCAAAAAAATTATCTAACTTCGGAAAAAACTTGCTGATAAATCGACCCAAAGGATGATGGGTGGCTACCATGTTATGTAATGCCTTTGAAAATTACACAACTTATGAAAATACCTATCCTTTATAGTTATTTGTATTGTGCGATATAGCCCAATGAAAATAGACAATCATTTTACTCTTACTACATGTATGCATTTGTTATTTTTCTTAAGAACTCCTAAGAATATTTTTCTTAGTATATAAATATAGTATTGGCCTTCTAAGAACTTCTGAGAATATCATTCTTAATATAGTCTAGTCCAAATAAAGCGATGGACTTCTTTTATTACCATGCAAACATTTTCAACAGTTCATTCGTTCACACATGTACATGTATACACAATTAAAGTATACCTCCTGCAATGACACATTGAGAAATGTTGAGGGGTTAAACTGATATCTGCTGAAGCCAGAAAGGCATCAATACTGTATAACACGATAAAATGCCTTCCTCACTGGACACTGGCTCCAAAATTGATAAATCATTTAGGAACATTTAAAATTTCTTGTGAACATGGCGAAATAATATTACATCTTTTAAAAATACATGTACTTTCAAGTCAAACAGGTAATCAACAGATACGATGACATGAGTAATTGTTTATTTCAACATAAACACAAATTCCTTGTGTACGACCCTGGATTCTTTCAGAAGAGAGAGAGAGAAATATTTCTTCCACAATGTTGTATCACGAAATGGTGATGACTTATCATAGTTCTCTGATTCTTTGATTGTATGGGTGCATGCTCCACTATAATAATTTACGAGACATGCTATCATTTCCACCCTGGTTACAGTGTACATAATAATTGGTATGTTTACTTAATACTTGGCCATTTTTATGCGACTGCACATAACAATCTGCTGTCGTTGTAATATTGTTATCATTCTATTTACCTTGATATGTCTGGTGAAGAGGACTTTGCCTTGTACATGTAAGTGACGTTGTGCAATGAAAATCGATAGTCGATTGGATGATGTACATTGTAGATCTACTAATTTTGTTTTGTCTGAAAGTATTATAATGTGATTCTTTTCCACTCGAAATATGTCCATAGCTATTTGTCACTTTTATGATACCATCCTGATCTACATCTAAGATATTCTTCTTCTTCTTCTTCTGTTAATCTTCAAAGGGCTATGCAGCCTATCACGAAGATCTGTAAGTAGATTACCAGTATACAGGCACACTAAACACCAGGGGGTGTTTCACAAAGATTCTAAGTTGGACTTAAACATTTTGGAGAGCCATATATGTAGCCTTAAAATGAAATATATTCAAAAGTAGAAATTGAAGTATTTAGACTTTTCATAAATTCCAAACTCTCCTTGATAATAGAAAATATGAATGATTTGAATCAACAGTTTATGTCTTTTAAAACAACTTTTATAAAAATATTTTTAAAGATGCTTTCAGTTTTCCAAAATTGGTAAGTCAAACTTAGAGTCAAGTCCAACTTAGGATCTTTGTGAAACACCCCCAGGTTTATACCCATGCTCTTTGCCAGAAGTGTAGTGTATTACCGTGCATAGGGTATGACTCTGCTATACACAGGGCCTCCAATTAATAATGTTCTGTCTAAAGGAACAGAGTGTTTTCCCCTGAACCCGAGCCTGCTTCAAGAACAGAGGGGAGGGGTGCTTTTACACACAACGTGGCGACAGTCATTTTTAACTTGTGAAGAGGGGATTAAATGAAAAGAAATCTAGAATGAAATAATCTGATATTGGTACATGCCCATTGCCCTACATTTTAATGATCATAGAAGGCACCTGGAATAAAAGTTTTATGTAAAGAAATATTGATTAACATAGATCCGAAAAATGCTAATAATTGCAATTTTAATTGAACTTTTACAATAATATGTTTATTTAATATATTTCTGATGAACATACAGTACATGTACATCAACTCAATATTTTTCAGAGACTCTCATTTCACACAGATGATAAATGTATTGTATCAAAGACAGGTTTTTGGTTTGGTTTGGTTTTTAGAAACTGGAAGAGCTACAATTTAAAACATAAGCTGGTTAAAGGATATCTACAGTCATAGAATAAAACTCACACTGAGTGCTTAATAATATTCCTCTCCAAGCGCTATAGTTCTCCTTAGAACTATAAGCTAAGAAAGATAACCAACAGTCTTTTTCAAGACTACACCAACAGTCCTTTTCAGGACTACACACCCTAAAGAAAGATTACCGAGAGTCCTTTTCTCACTCTCTCTCACATGGTGTATCCGCAAGCCTACTGTTTATCTACATCACCATGCAAGCCGATACTTACAAGCAGCATCTAATAATGATAATATAGTAATGATCTGAATTAATGATAGCACTTATATATCAAGGCTTGCCCCAACACATTCTCTTGACTACAAATATACATGTATACCTGCTAAACAGTTCTCATAGAATAATTGATAAAGCTACACATGTAAGTGATGAGCAAAGAAAGGAATTGGAAGGAAATTCAGCTAGTAGTCCTGACCAAGTACCAGTCATCACACATTAGAACGTCTAGTCCCATATGTGCACTTACATGCAAGTAGTTGTGCTTTTCAGTTAATATAATTGCAGCCATTTGTTGGCAGTTTATTTACAGTTTGCTGGTTTAATAACAAGTAAAGAAACCTAAACAATGCATGCTACAGCGAACAGATATACTCCAGGCAAGATTCTCAATGTTGTGTCCATTGTTTTATCTGAACTCAGATAAATTTTATTATTTGAACAGTTGTCTTTTTAATCGGACCAGTATTTCAACTTTCATAGTTTCATTGTATGATTATGTAGATATGTTTTGTGAATAGATATTCTTTTCTATTATTATATCCTCGATAGTTTTAAACTCATACATTTCAGCTTTTTAGCTGCGGCATGTGCATTATTGTATTCTATATTTTTTCTCGAAATAAACCTTAAATTGATTGATTAGCTACAAAGAAAACAGCAAGATACATATATCTCTGTAACTGAAAGTCCACAAAACATTGGAATAATCTTGATTGAAAAACAGTATTAAATGGTTCTGAACATGTTACACATACTGGACAACAAAAATGCACTACTTATTTAAATAAATTTTTATTGAGTAGGTAAAAAACAAAATTTTGCCTTAAAAATAGGGTGTGTTGTGTAATCTGCCATTGTGGAAAATAGAAATGCAGTTAGTCTTTTTTATTTTCAACCATAAGGTAATAGCTTCAAATCCTAGCCCAGCGCTTGTTTTGTTTTTTTGCATTTCACCTACATTTGCCTCTTTCAACCCAGGTGTAGTAAATGGGGTCCTGGTTGATGCTATGATTGCCATTTAATAAAGGCAACTTTGCTATGGCCAGGGTAAATACCAGTGTCTTTCACCCCATTGCAAATGGCAAAATTAAGTACAAGTACTATAATTCAAGGCAAATATATATTACAAAGTAAAATTACAATTATTATTTGCTGGTCCAACGTCAAAACCTACTTGCCATAAACCATCACATCACTGGAGAAAAATATATTTCAAAGTTCTGCTCCTAAACTGATTTGGCTCCAGAATGAAGCTGATTATGCTAAAAATTTCAATGATTTTGAATCCCAAATCAGTTTTGTTGACAACTTATTATCTTAATTTGTGTCACACTTTATAATCAGCAGTCGAATCATGCTGTGCCTGCCATTTCCATGTATGGGCAACTCAACAGCAATATTTGTTTCAAACATTTGCTCACTTGCCTACATAATTGGGCAAGCTAGTGCTCACATACATGTGGCAGTTTTACCTCTTTTTTAATATACTCAGTCTTTCTGCTCTGGTTGCTTATAGTGCTGTGGATGGCGACGCATGTTATGGTCAGCTATGGTTTCGCCAGTGCCTGCCCTCTGGTGGCCTCGATAGATCATGACCCCACAGCCAAACATGGTCAGGAACGCGATGAACATGTTGACATACACACGGAACTTGTTCCTCGTTGCATTCAACAGGTGCACCCTAATACATGAAAGAGAAGAAAAGGTTTTTATGAATTACGCTTATCAGCATATAAGTGTATGTGTGAGTAGAAGGGTCCTCAATACATTTGTGTTAAATTCACATAAACGCATTACAGCTATTTATTTTACAGTGTTCTATATGTTTTATCAAAGGTGAGCCTTAAACAGATTTCACTATAATAATCAAAGTGAAATCCAAATCATACATGTACAGTGTCCATGTACAGCCTATGTACATGTATCTTAAATTAAAATACTAGTAACATCATCCAAATTAATTGAACCAGTAGTACACTATAAAATACTCTTACAGGTATGTTCTATTCAGCTTATAAAAATGTAGAATTGAAAAACAGGTCCAAACGATCATTGAAAGAAAAAAACTTTAGAAGCCATGAAATTCCTTTGAAATTACCTATGGAGACAGAATGGTGATATCTTTGATTCTTGTTCTGCATTATAAACAGCATTACAAAAATAGAATGAAGCTATTATAACATTACCACCACCACCTCCCCCCCCCCCCTTCCCTTGTAAAGAAAAAAAACTACCTCTAATAACAGCATTATGGCAATTGCCCTAGGATACCTACCCCCCACCCTCCCCCTTCTGAAAGAACTATACTATCAAAGAGAAGTGTATACGTCACCAACTAGGGTATGGATGACTTGGATTGCAGTTCAAGTCCCGACATAGCACTAGTGTCCTTTGGCAAGACATTAATCTACAGTATCTCACCCTTGTACAACAACAAAACAAAACAAAAACAAAATTGGCCCAGTCTTGATAAAATTACAAGCACTGTACACAGAAAGATGTATATGGGACTACGCAACACGTGCACAATATCTATCCAGTCCGGATAGATATAATAATTTACCAAATATGTATCATCACGTATTAGTCAAAACATATTCTTTTACGCACAATTGGTAATAAGAGCTTCCATTTCATTTTTTGAGAGGGGGGCGTTTCCAAAACTGGTCTTTATCTTTAACCAAAGAGATAAATTTGATTTGTCCATGAAGAAAGGGTGTGTGTGTGTGTGTGAGGGGGGGGGGCTGATTTAATTGCCTGAGAAACATTTTTTTGTTAAATGCCTCCAGCAATATTTATCAAATATAGCTTCCTGGACACAAGAATGACTACATCATGTAATGTCATTGTTTATTGTTAATCATGATACGTACGAGACCAGATCAGGCACTTCTTCTGCACTCTTGAATTTTCCAAAGGACACTAGGAGACGCTTATCAAAACCAGATGGAGCTCTTGCACTGAAGTGTTCATGCTGTTGATTGCTGGCAACTGTGTTCAGATCATGAAAAGACAAGAAAGAAAAGAAAAGGTCAACAAACGATTATGAAACAAAATGATTTACCGGTAGTCCAATTAGAACACTGTAGGAGGGTCATCAGTCTGCAAGAATCTTCAACTGTGAAGGAGGTAGACTTAACCCAAAGAAGAAGAAGAAGAAGAAGAAGAAGAAAAAGAAGAAGAAGAAGAAGAAGAGGGTCTATAAACAGTTAACTAATTTCATTTGAAAATTTGTATGCTAGAATTATGGAATATTCAATATTATTACCCGTATCAGACATCTGAGCTGGTCATTTACAAAACCGTATTGCCCTAATTTTCACTAGCAGTGGGAACGAAGGGGTATATTCTTTGTATTTTCCTTGGTCTCCTTGCTCGTATAGACTTTGCGTGAAGAGACGAGTGAAAAACTGAAAATATACCTTGGTATTTTCCACGGTCTGGCATCCGGGCATCTTGTATTGACCGCGCCGTATTTTGTCATTTTCATTGCGCATTATGCGTACGAGAACCTGCGCACTTTGCGCGCACTCTATTGTGACGTAATAATCACACCAACTGCACACTGTTTGCAGTGTATCAAACATTTTCGTCAAGCACTGGATGCACAGTACTGATTTGACAAAGTTTGTTCAGTTCTTTGAGATTGTCATGGTGGATTTTTGTATTTGCTCTAGATGTCTGATTTGGATAACAATAAAAATATTGACTGGCTTTACTTTCGGGGGATATAAGAAATATTGACCGCGCTAAGACCATATTGCCCTCGTCTTTCGACTCGGGGCAATATGATCTGAGTTTGGTCAATATTTAATATACCCCTCAAGGCCAGTCAATATTATATAATTATTTGCGATATCAACATATTATTATACAAATCATACTGTACTATGTAAGTACATGGACATGTTGTGGCTTTACAAAAGACAGGTTGAGTACAAGAGAATTTTGTGAATAAATTTATTTATTCGCACATTTTCAAAGGTAAAAAAAAATTTCTCCTAAAGAGTCCTATGAATATTTACTTTGTGAAATAGATCTATGAAGGGGTGACCAAAGTTCGCGGACATTTTAGAACATATTACAAAATGTGATATTCGAATTACGATTTCTCATATTCTACACAAATTTATTGATTTCAATTATAACCAAAGGGACGGCGAAGTTTTTAACTACAGATTAGTTCAACTAGAAAATTTTATCGTCGAAGGATTTCGGAGATATCGCGATCTAAAAATTTGATGTCCGATCGTTCGTGCGCGCTGCATCTAAAAAAGTCATAAAAACAACGAGACCTAACTTCACGCACGGGTGATCCAAGTGTGATCCATCAAAAATAAGGTAATATCATAATTTGCAAGGCAAGATATCATACAATCAGTTAGTACCACTCTTTACTTACAATTTTGAGGAAATCTGCTCTCAAATTGAAGATTTTCAGACCCTTATCGGTAAGTTGATCATTTTTCGGAATGGACGCAAAATATTGCAAAATTTGCCGATCTTTTGTCAATATTTTCACAATTTCGTACCCAATTCCAAAGAAAATTTCAATTCTGGGTGATTTTATGTTCCTCTTTCCATTGGTGATATCAGATTTTCGTAATCTTACTGATTTTTGGAGATAGCGAACTTAGGTCACGCGCGAACTTTGGTCACACCACCATACATACATGATGTAGGTCTAGACCCTAACAAATATTGAGATTTCTTGGTCTGATAATCATGAACAAAAACAAACAAACAAAACAGAACAGAACAAAATAAAACAATTAAAAAAATGAAAATAAAAATCACCTTGCTGTACTTTCTCAGGGGTTTTGCTTGTTTTTCCATCCACTTCAACGACTCTGTTCGTTTTATCACATAACCACCTTCCGCCAATCTGCTGAGAAGAAAGCTCACTCCTGAGAAGAAGTTGTCTGCCAGTAGATGCACGTCCCATCTGTGTTACGACACTAGGCCTAGATCCGCTTGAATTGACAAGGCTTTTACTGGGTGATGTTGCCATTTTCCTGAGGCCGAGGCTGAACATTTTTATGTTTTGGTTGGACATGTTGATCCCTCTATGAAACAGTGTCATGACTGCTCTGCTGCCTGTTTGACCGACTTGCATCCTGATCCGATTGCTACTCAACTCTTCTTTGATCTCAACAAAATTTCTTGTGAAAACAGGCTGGTTGATAATCTTGGGCAAATTGGAATACTTCTCTACTCAATTTGTGAAAGTAATAATTGACTTCCGTGAAGACTGCTAGCCTATAGAGTAACTGATAAGTAGTAATGTCTTTCAAAAGCTGGGAGAAGGCCTAGAGTTTGACTGAAATATGAGCTTGCGCTCGTCGTCTGCTGACGAATTGGAAATTCAATTTTAAAGATGAAGTTGGATACAATTTGGATCGTTTATACTTTGAAATTTCACCTTCAAAACTAACCTGGTCGTGTGTGTACACCACTAAAGCCCAAATCTGTGACTGATTTAAAACATTAAATCATTAAATGATTTGTCAAAAATGTAGTGGGCATAAAACGATTCGATGCTCATTTTTGCACGTAGTCCCAAGGTCGTAATCGTATAATCCAAGGATATGGAATACAGGTTTGCTAATTTTGTGATATGTATAAATAAAGGTTCATATATTAATTAATTATTCTAAAATATGTAATAAACAATAAAAACCATACAGTTATATAAATATTAATATTAATAATGAAAATAAAATATTTTGATAGCGAATATCATTATTTTATTGCTTAATAAAATAAAAATTGTATTTAAAATCTCAAGTGTTCTTGTAGAATAAAGATGGCAGCGCACGGTGGGCGACTTTTCCGAGTTTTCGGTGGAAAGTTATTGCGAATATCACACCATAGTCGTGCCTTGCAGGTTAGTATTGGTGAATATTTTCGAAAAATATCAAATGTATAATTGTATTTGTTGTGTTAAGTATGAAACATTTATCACGAAATCGAGTAAAAATTAGACTAGACTCACTAGAGTGCTCCTTGGCCAACGTCAGTGGTACTAACTAACTTAGTTGCAGCGGTCATGGAAGACGCACCACCCCAGCCCAGTGGGTACGGCTTATTTTACGGGGAGTGAATCGAAAGCTAACTCGTGCATATCATATCGGGATGAGCGCAGCTCGCTCGCGAAGCGAAGCGAAGCTAAGCTCTGACTGAAGTGTCAATCCAAGTTCTTCTTCGCTATACATAACTAGATCTAGACCTAAGTAAAGACTAAAGTAGAGTCTAGACCTACATGCCACCGTCTGGTGAATTCTCATACTGATGTGGGACAAGCGCATAGCCAGGATATCATTTCATTTCATTTTAGGCGGTAGTGAGCACGCGAAGCGTGCGAATCACTTAAAGAGCGTGCGAAGCGCGCTCCCTAGGGGGGTGGGTGCAGGGAGGGGGAGTTTCCCCCCTCCCGCGTGAAGCGCGGAAGCTTTGAAAGAAGACGATTCGTTGTACCTTTCTCGACTCATAATCCTTGTCTGAATTCAGTCCCTCCCCTTTCTCGCGCGAAGCTTTGACGTTTCATTAAATTATTAGAGAAAGAAGACGATTCGTTGTACCTCTCTCGACTCTTAATCCTTATCTGTATTCAGTCCCTCCCCTCTCTCACGCGAAGCTTTGACGTTTCATTAAATTATTAGAGAAAGAAGACGATTCGTTGTACCTTTCTCGACTCTTAATCCTTGTCTGAATTCTGTTCCCCCCCCCCCCCCCTCTGGCGCGAAGCTTTGACGTTTCATTAAATTATTAGAGAAAGAAGACGATTCGTTGTACCTTTCCCGACTCATATTTCTTAATTTGAACTCAGTTTCCCCCTTCCCGCGCGAAGCGCGGAAGCTTCGACGATTCATTGTACCGTTCTCGACTCCTTTTCCCTTTTTATTCCTACGTCCTCTTTCTTTTTTTTCTTCTCTTTCTCTCTCTTTTTTTTTTTGGCCTGCGTTTTGGGGGGGGGGGGGCGACCGCCCCCACCGCCCCCCCCCTGGCTGCGCGCCTGATGTGGGATTAGGTGCTGTGTCAGTGTGTGCAGATGTACATGATGTCTACTTGGTACTTGGTTGGGTAATCCCTTTGGCAGCTCACTCAGGAAGCTATACTGGGATGGTAGGTGAGGCAAGTGACTACAAGGAGTGTCATGAATTGCTGGAATGGTGTGTGGACAAAGCACTTGTCAATTTACAGTAAAATATGCTAAGTCCAGTGCAAGTAAAAACCAAGCTAGTAAGCTTATATGATGTGAGAACCAACGGGGGGCTGCATCATTCTGATGGAGGGTAGAGCAGCCTCCTTGAAGTTGGTTATTCCTGTTGCATTGACTGCTGAGCCTGGCAGATGGTTCCAGATCCTTATTGCTCTTGGACCTAGTATGAGAACTTGAAGGAGTCGATAGTTGCAACAGGAATTACATACTTCAGGTTGTGGTCATGTCTTCCGAAGTATGTAGCAGGGATAACAATAGTTGGTGCAGGTATGGAGACAAGTCGGTGATGGATCTTGTAGAGAAGGGTGCATTGGTCGAGGATTCGACGTGTGTGAAGCGTGTCCCACCCTAGAGCTGCCACAAGAGCTGATGGTGATGTGGTGTATCTGTAGTCACGGTACACAAAGCGAGCCGCTGTTCTTTGTACTTGCTCTAGCATTTTTGTGACCGTGACGCTGTGTGGGTTCCAAGCCTCCGAGGCATACTCCAATTGGGGGCGCACTAAGGCTGTGTAGGCCCTGGACTTTACATCCCTGGTACAGGGTGAGAGAGTCCTGCGAAGAAGACCTAGAGTACGGCTTGCTTTATGCCGGATGGTTTGGCAGTGCTTGTTCCAACGGAGATCAGCAGCAACCGTTACTCCAAGGTACTTGTACTCTTTCACTCTCGGAATCAGTCCATTTGACAGGTGGTATTCTCGGATGCTGGGAGTACGCTTCCGTGTGATGGTGAGGATAGCGCACTTTTTCACGTTGAAGTCCATCATCCAGTTTGAAGACCACCTGGACAGCTGTTGGAGATCGTCCTTTAGGATTTGATGGTCCTCGGGGCATCGAATCTCACGATAGAGGGTGCTGTCATCTGCGAAGAGACGCATTGTGGACTGGATGTTGTCTTGGATATCGTTGATATACAACAGGAAGAGGGTAGGGCCGATGACGGATCCCTGGGGGACTCCAGATGTTACATCCCTCCATGTTGATTTGGATCCATCAACTACGACTGCCTGTTGTCTATCAGTGAGGAGAGACATTATCCACTGGAGTGAGTCACCACTTATTCCATAGTACTGAAGTTTGGTTGACAGGAGAAGGTGTGGTACTCGATCAAATGCCTTCTTGAAGTCCAAGAAGATTATATCAGCTTGGCTACGCTGCTGTAGGATGGAGGACCAGTCGTGGACGGCTGTTGTCAATTGAGTGGTTGTTGACAACCCTCGTCGGAAGCCATGCTGTGCATCAGTGAGGATATTATTCACTGCAACATGCTTCGACACATGGCTCAGGATGATATGTTCCATGACTTTGCAGCAAACGCAGGTAAGTGAGATCGGTCTGTAGTTGGAGGGGTCACACTTTTCTCCCGACTTGTGAATAGGGGTAACCAGTGCTTGTTTCCATTGGGCTGGAACGATGCCACTGTTGTAGCTTTGTTGAAACAGGAAGGACAGTGGAGAAGCAATCTCGCGAGCTACCAACTTTAGGAGCTTGGGTGGACGTTCATCAGGTCCGCTGGCCTTTGAAGGGTCCAGTTGTTGGAGGCGTTTCTCGACACCAGTCCTGTGAACATGCAGGTGACCAATAGTTGGAAAAGGAGAAGGTCCTTTCTGTACAAGAGGTTGGAGCTGGTGAGGAGTAAAGACAGACTGGAAGTAGTCGTTCAGTGTCTCTGCCTTGTCTAATGCTGAGGCGCATAGTTTAGATGGAGTACGCAAGGTAGGAATACCAATGTTTTCAGAACGACATGTCTTGATGTAAGACCAGAAAGACTTTGGGTTGTCCTTAAGGCTTGCCCCGATGATGTTGTTGACGTACTCACAACGTGCTCTGTGCACATTCTTGGCAACTTGGTTCCTGAATTGTCGGTAGGCTGTCCAAGCTGTGGAGCAAGATCTAAATCTAGATTGAAAATTTCTGTCTGTTTCGTTCGCTAGACGGTTAGCCTCTTATTTGGGTAGGGTCAGCTCCTTTTTCTAAAGACAGAAGCCGACCATAGGGTCTCCTGTGCAAACTTTGTGGCCAGATCCTGCCACAAAACTGTGCCCTAATAAGGCCTAAATACTCAATTTTAGCGGATGCATAGATCTATCAGAAGCACTTATGCTCCAATATTATCAGTTGGGGCGCTGGTCCGAGAATAAGGATCGTCTTCATAAACGAGGATGTCTGCATTTTCGCAGACGTTTCATATTTTTGATTGGTGCATTGGCAATGCACAAAACGGATTCTGCAATGATTTTCTTGATGCTTTTTACATTGACTTTGTACAGAGACCTTCACATTATGAGCAATAAATCCTTGGGAAGACGGACAACCCATAAAAGTAGACGGTGAACTAGGGTTATTTTCCCCCGGGGAATCCATTTTGGCATCGCCAGCAGGCCGTTCTGTAACATGAAACCCCCGAAGCACCGATGAAAAAAAACGTCCTCAAAAATGCAGACAACCCTTATTTTTTAGGACACATTTTGTCTGCGTTTATGAGGATATCCTTGTTTCATTCTAGGACCAGTGCCCCTACTGATTATAGAATCTAGGCCTAGAGCTAAACTACATTGTTTCCACTAATAACAGGAATTTGTTCGTCAAAATTTAGCTCTGTATTGAAATTCTTGCACTTTGCAGCCATATTTTAAACTAGTGTTACTATCATTGGACGCAGGGCTGTCAACCCTCCAGCATTTGGAGGGAGTCTTGCTCCACCACGCTCATTCTCCCACCGTCCCACCAGCTCGTAGTGGGAGACTCCCGCCACCACGCCCTCCCTCCCGCTCTCCTGCAATCTCGCGGTTTATGAAAAAACCTCCCGCCAGACGTGTACAAAGAACCGGCGACAGCGTACTCGTATCGTATGGGGGGGGGGGGGGGTAGTAAGTACTTTGATTAAAAAAAAAAAAATTCTTACTCAACACCCCCCCCCCCCCACCCCCTTCCTTGTTGAGCCAAAAAATTGCATACCATCTCCCTCGAAGCAGTTCCCCAAAGGTTGACAGCCCTGTTGACGTCATCTTTCTTTATGCGCAGTAACCGTTTAAAATAGGGGGAGGGGTGATATTTTGTAGCAAAGTACATGTATATGTGAAAAGACCTTGACGATTGTAATCAAGTTCAATCTTACCTACATGTAGACTCATTCAATACATCAGTACATGTACAATATAATTGTTTTGTTTTTAATACTAGTACACTAGTAGATGTTCCCCATTGCTCCACATGGCTATGGGTCTCTGAGTGTCATAACAGTTAAACCATGTTCTGTTGTTGTCTCTTTGTCATCAAAATGTAGGTTATAGACACCCAACAATGGAAGCTCTTCTCCACAGATGTCCAGCCGAAGAAAGAGAAGAAACAGAAAGATTCTGTAGCTGCCGTGATTGCTGCTGCCCAAGACAGAAGAACAGCTTATGGTAAGAGTAGATTTGCGGAACAAGTACTTCTTCAAACCGCTGTAGAACATCAGGGCTTAAATTAATCCAAGGCCACCAAGGCCATGGCCGTGGATGCCCTTTTGATCGGCCTCAATGCCCCTCTCATTGGCCTTGGAGAGTTTTGTGCCCTTTCCAATTCTTCCTATTTGTGCTGTAATATAAAAATGTGCCCTACAGAAAAGTGGCCTTGCCCTAAAAATGTTGAAATTTAAGGCCTGAGAACATACTGTACTTACTTAAAGTTACTTACTTAGGTGGACTTCTTGATACAGGTTGAGATGCCTATGTCCAGATTAAGCCTAGTCCTGGGGGGTGTTTCACAAAGATTCTAAGTAGAACTTAACTCTAAGTTGGACTTAAAAATTATGGAAAGCCATTAGCATCTTTGAAAATATTTGGTAAAAATATTTTTGAAAGGCATAAAATGTTTATTCAAATCAGTCACATTTTCTATCATTAAGGAAATTTCATATTCTTGTTGTGGAATTTATAAAATGTCTAAAATACTTGAATTTCTGCTTTTGAGTATATTTCATTTTAAGGCTCCAATGGCTGTCCATAATTTTTAAGTCAAACTTAGTGTTAAGTTCTACTTAGGATCTTTGTGAAACACCCCCCAGATCCTGGGTAATTGCTTGTACTCCAGCAGTATGGGTGCGATCTGGGGAAGCTGCTTTGTAAATATTGTACTTAAATTCAGCATTTTGCCAAAACTTATCCAGCCTATTTTTGAAACTGAAAAACAGTATCAGCCTCCACAAATTGGTTTGGAAGGCTGTTCTACAAATTATTCTGGTAGAGAAGACGTTACTCTGAATACTTTTGTCTGCTCTGTGCTTCAAATCTGTGTTCCCCTAGTACTAGTGGTACTGAGCTCAAAGAGAGACTTAGAGTTAGAGAGGAGTTGCAAATAGAATGATATATTTTGAGCAGCTTGAAAGTCTCAATCATATCGCCAAGAGCTTGTCTATATATTAAAGATAAACTTGAGTTCTGGTAAAAAAAAGAAAATGAATTCTCACAGAATCAAACGAAACTTACACTGATTGTTCAAGAGTACAAATAAATGTTATTTGCGAAACAATTTTGGTAGAAAATGTATACTGGCTGAGTAATGAGCATAGAAAGATAAGGAAATCAAGGTTAGTAGCCCCGACATTTTTTATTTAGTCCCATATACATTTTTCTGTGTACAGTGCTTATTACTTTACTAAGACTGGGTCAAATTTATTATTATTTTGATGACTCCAGAACCTAGCAGTGCACACCAATACTTACATTCTACACGATCAACTTTTTTTGATCCATTCCACACCTTTTCTTTCACATGACCAGAACTCAACTTTATCTTTAATAGAGAGGAGTTGCATTAGAATCATATATTTTGAGCAGTTTGAAAGTCTCTATCATATCGCCAAGAGCTCGTCTATAACTTAAAAGCCATAGGCACCTTCAGTCTCTCGTCATAACCAAGTCGTTTGAATGAAGGTACAAACCCTAGTGGCCCTCCTCTACACATTCTCCAAGGCATCACTTGCTTAGTTACAAGTGTATTCTTGTCAAAAGTAAATAAAAGAAACAATCTGCCATCTTTATCAAGTTTCAAACGTCAACAATAACTGTTATGCATTCACAGTTTCTTGAAGAAATCTGAATGTGTCATGACTGGCAATCTTTGAGATGAACCGCTAGGTTTAGGCTACCAATATAGGAGTTTTGTCGAGAAATGGCATATACACTGTACTCATTGATAATGAATATATAAAGCCTGTTAGACTTGGAAGTACACACAAAATACTTAAGAAATGAAATGTTATGTGTTTTATCGTCTGATTTGTTTCAGATACGTTGATTCAACGAGAGGAGTTATCTTATGAGCGAGGGCGACGTCACCTTGCCAACATGATGGGGGAGGATCCAGAGGACTTTAAACAAGAAGATGTAGATGTAAGTCTAAACTTCTCATTTCATTTTACAGACTCTGCTCAGATACTTTAATTCTGCTATCAACTTACAGTGTATATACTTTTGCATTAGTTACTGAATAACACAATAAACTTCTCATCAAAGTGACTCGGTAACATTGTTGATGGTTGATGATGAAAAAACTGTGTAATTTTTTGTATGAAATGGTACTTATTATATTCCTGTTAATACTGTACTGACCCTCTAACAGGCAAAATATCCTGAGAAAATTCTCAAACCACAAAGATATTTAAGATTTTCTTTGAAGGCATCACCGTGCAACACCCTCTAACAGGGATTAAGAGTAAATTCTCCCAACCATTTTTTAATTTTCTCAACTGTTTTCCAATGAAAATAAGAAAATGAAGTTAAAGGTAAAGACCAGTTTTGGAAACGCCCCCTCTCAAAAAATGAAATAGAAGCTATAATCACCAATCATGTGAAAGAATATGTTTTGACTAATACATGATGATAACAAATTTGCTGGGAAACCGCCTACTAATTGATATATATGGTAAATTATTATATCTATTTGGACCTGATAGATATCGCGCATGTGTCTTTCTGTGTACAGTGCTTGTAACTTTACCAAGACTGGGCCAAATTTCTCAATCTTTTGATGATTCCAGAACCTTGCAGTACACACCAATATTTATATACTAGATGATCAACCTTTTCTGATCGATTCCACAACATTTCTTTCACAATGCAATCGCACGACCAGAACTGGTCTTTATCTTTAATGCTTGTTCTCTTGTACCTTCCAGAGGGCCATTGAGTATCTCTTCCCATCGGGTCTATTTGATAAGAAGGCGAGGCCTATGATGAAGCCTCCAGCAGACTACTACCCACCCCAGAAGGCAGCCCAGTTTGGACCAGATGGTAGACCCTTTGATGCCTTGTTCTACACTGGCAAACCAAACTACTATAATCTCATGCATGTGAGTTAAGAAGATGGAAGTATATTTCTCAATTGCATGTGTCAAGTGTGTGAAATGATTTTTAATTTGTTTGTTTGTTGGGCATTCTTCTGGCGAAGACTTTGTTCATCTCAAAATAACATGCTGATATAGATTTAGAGGATATTAAAAAATGGTTGAATGCGGAAAAAAAAAAAGTTTATGAGAAACAGGTTATGGCAAGGAAAATTGTAGAGAGAGAAAGAGACAGAATCAGACATTTACTGAAGCAAAAGATAAATGGATAGAAATAAGCAGACACAGAAGAAGGAAAGGATAGAAAGAGAGAGAGAGAGAGAGAGAGAGAGATAGAAGAGTTGGGGAGGGGGAAGAATGTGAGACTTGCAAATATTTACTTACATACTGTAATTAGTTCTACACCATATGCGATTGATATTGTCACCCAACTTTCTCTTTCCATCTGTAAATTTCTATATATATACCACTGGTTTCTTCCATCATGAAAACTGAACGCTCGTCTTGAAGTTTTTATTAACAAATATTTTACCTATTTTCTGCAGGACACAGTGAATGAAGCAAATAAAGTCATCGCTAAGGAGGACGAGATGATAAGAAAAGGAATCCTCATACATGAAACTCATCCTGTGTAAGTACTGTGAACATATACTGACAGCTAATGTGGAAGATTGACTGTAGGAAGAATGTCTTTATATTATGCAGGTGTCTTTCATACATGAGAAATACTATTCAAAGGCAAAAAAGAAGGTGTTTGTAGACAGGTGGTCACAAGATCAGGTTAAATGTTGTACACCTTAAAGATTTTTACCGATGAACCAAAATCCTTCCTAGGACAGATACTATATCTTAAGATCATAATGGCGAGAGCAAACAGTGGCATGAACAGCCTGCCATAGTTAAGTCCAACTTAGAGTCGATCTTAGTCTCTGTGAAACACTCCCCTGGAGTTTGGCCCCGGACAATTATTCTACCCTTCTGTAGGGAAGAGAAGTCTTTTTAGTAGTGGATGTATACTTTCTAATATTTGACTATTACTTTAATTTTATTTGAATTTGAATGCAGGAACCTTGCAAGGAGTGAATGGATAGACAAAGCGTCTGTTGAGAGAATAGTGGTAGAAGCACTGTCCGACAAGGAGGTTTGTTTTTATTGGTATCATTTTTATGATATCTATTTCTATCTCTTTATTTGTTGGGAGGGGGGTAGTGGTGATGGAGGATGGTGTAATCTGCATATGCCACTCTCTACCCAGGTGATATAAATAGGTACCTGGTAGGAAGACATTTCTCGATACCCAGAGCGCCTTATCAGGGTAGCTATGCCAATGCCTATTTAATAATAGTACAATGATTAGACAGGGAAAAAATTAATGTTTATTTTTCGGGGGCTACTTTTCAAGCTTGCCTGCATAAGAATTTTACCCTAAAATTTATTTTGCATTGAACTCTATGCAAATTTACGGGGCTCTTTTAGGCATTTCGGGGGCAAATTCGCCCTGAGCCCCGTGTATTTTTTTCACTGGCTTAGAAACATTAGCATTCAAGGGTAGTCCAACCCTTGTAATAAGCTCTTTGAGTTCATTTGAATAGAAGCAGACAAATCAGAGAAACGGAAAGGTGGAGTTTGAAATGATTCTGACCAATCATAAGAAAGTTATGAATGTTTGAAATATGAGATAACTACATCTATGCAAATTTCAAATTATTTATGATAATGAAATTCATTCAAAAGGTAATTTTAGATGACTGTACTCACTGATCTCAACTGATTTTATTATGGAACCGTATTTTGTATTATGTATATTTGAATATTATTTAACTGTAAGCATCTCCAATCATCCTATACCTTGTATGTGTTAGAACAAATCATTTCAATTCATGAATTCCTTTTAATACATGTAGACACCTAAAACTAAAAGTCTGATAACTTATTCACAGTGCAGATTTAGAATTAATTTCATTGTTAGGATCAACAAGAAGAATTCAAAACAGATACTGGGTTATATAACATTTTCCATCCATCTTTTTACCCACAGTATTTAAATTTTATCAGTCTGTTGGAGAGGATACTGCAGCTACCGTATGCAAGTGAAGTCAGCGATTATATCCACAAGTTTAGACGAGAACTAGTCGCTGAGCTCAGCAAGGAAGTCATTAGTCCAGTAAGCCATCTCTTCTAGCTTCTTCAGCATCCATAACAAGAGGCTTAAAGGGATAGTTGAGTTCTGTTGCAGAGGGCGCTACACATATATTTGATAATTTGAAAAAGCCGTTGAAAAAACAAAATAACGCCTTTAACTTCGTATTTCAGCCAATGCCGATGTTGGCTTTTTTGTTGGCCTTTTTGTACTAGTTTATTGCGCAACAGCCGGCCCATGCATGTATTGTCATTATTAATTAATTAACGGTCACTGTTTTTATGCCTCCGCCACCGAAGGTGGTGCCGGAGGCATCATGTTTTCGGGTTGTCAGTCCGTACGTCAGTCCGTACGTCCGTCCCGTTTGACCGTTATCACAATATCTCAAGAACCATTTAAGATTTAAACTTAAGACTCGGGAATAGTATTTATCACCATAGGAAGACGATCTGATTAGATTTTGGAGTACGTAGGTCAAAGGTCACAGGTCACAGAGGTCAACTTATGAAATTCCTTGTATTGAGTTTGTTAGCGCGATATCTCAAGAACCATTTGAGATTTAAACTTCAAACTTAAGGATAGTATGTATCACCATAGGAAAACAATCTGATTACATTTTGGAGCACGTAGGTCAAAGGTCAAGGGTCATAGAGGTCAACTTATGAAATTCCATACATTGAGATTGTTATCATGATATCTCAAGAACCACTGGAGATGTAAAAACTTCAAACTTAAGGATAGTATGTATCACCATAGGAAGACGATCTGAGTAGATTTTGGAGCACGTAGGTCAAAGGTCAAGGGTCACAGAGGTCAACTTATGAAATTCCATACATTGAGATTATTATCATTATATCTCAAGAACCACTGGAGATTTAAACTTCAAACTTAATGATAGTGTGTATCACCATAGGAAGACAATCTGATTAGATTTTGGAGCACGTAGGTCAAAGGTCAAGGGTCACAGAGGTCAACTTATGAAATTCCATACATTGAGATTGTTATCGCGATATCTCAAGAACCACTGGAGAATTTTCACTTCAAACTTAATGATAGTGTGTATCACCATAGGAAGACAATCTGATTAGATTTTGGAGCACGTAGGTCAAAGGTCAAGGGTCACAGAGGTCAACTTATGAAATTCCATACATTGAGATTGTTATCGCGATATCTCAAGAACCATGGAGAATTTTCACTTCAAACTTAATGATAGTATGTATCACCATATTAAATATCTCAAGAACCACTGGAGATTTAAACTTCAAACTTAATGATAGTGTGTATCACCATAGGAAGACAATTTGATTAGATTTTGGAGCACGTAGGTCAAAGGTCAAGGGTCACAGAGGTCAACTTATGAAATTCCATACATTGAGATTGTTATCATGATATCTCAAGAACCACTGGAGATTTAAACTCCAAACATGTTTAAATTGCTCTATGGCGGAGGCATCATTTTCGACTGCGCGCAGTCAAAATTCCATCTAGTTTTAAAAAGTGGAGCTGAATTGATATGATTGTATTGGCTAAATTTCACACATTTCGGGGTCCAAAATTACCTTCATAGCAATAAACATGCACTTTGAAGGCATTTGCAGTCTAAAATCAAAACTCAACTATCCCTTTAAAACAATAACATGGTCAAGGGCATGGTAATCGGAATTCCCCACCTGACTGTATTGTGGCCTGTGGGGCCAGCAAGCCATGCTAGAGTAACCTCACTATTTGATTATTATTACATGCATAGATTACCTGTATCTATTATGATGATGTCATTTGTGAGACGTACTAAATAAGTTTCTCTGGGCTCAAACATGAACAGCAAGACAAATTCAGTATTAAATAATGGAGGATCTTTAATTTGCCTCACAAGCATGTTACAATGCATACCTTTTTTAGCTGGTCTTTGACAGTTTATTCTATATTTTTGCTTCTGATATGGTCATTATTCTGTACTAATTTGCACTGGGTTTATCTCAAGATATATTTATCTACATGTTTATGAATTTTATTAGTGAGTCCATTTTTTTCATGTGAATATAGATTTCTTTGTTTCTGAACGTTATTTTCTTCATTAGGACCAGATTTTCAGGGCAGTCCACTAGATATTTATTTGTTAAAATGTATGTTATACCTATGAAAACATTATTTTGTAACAATGAACTACACTGTATGTTCATATGCACTATTCATCTCTTGGTGCATTTAAGTTTCAAATCATGTTTTATGTAAAATCATATAGTGTACCTGAAATGAAAACTCAATGCACACGCTCACTTAAAGGTAATACAAAGTTTTGGTAAATTTTGAAAATTGGGTGGATAGTGAATCTTTACAATTTTGATATATTTGGATGCCCCTGTGGATGTATTATAAGCACTAAAAAAATTAGCCCCTAAAACACTTCTGTTTTCGAGAAAAAGTTAATATAAAAATTTACCGGTGCTCCCGGTAAATTTGGATAAATTTCAAATAGCGCCTATGGCCGTACAATGGTAGCTGCGACCATTAAAATCTCAGAATATGTAGTTGTGATATATAATTTCCAAACGGGAATAGCTAATCGGTCGATTTTAGTCAATAAACATTGTTTCATAGCTAAATTAATATCTTGACCTTGAGAGGGAGCTATACAACATAAAGAGTTTATTATTTATAATTTCATAACTTTAGACTCGATTTCAATCGCGACAACGATCAATCAATATTGTAGGAACGCATATGCCTCCAATATGTTAATTTTAACCAAATTCATGACCCCATACCAAAACTTTGTAATACCTTTAAAGTAGGGCTCACACGGAACCCAGGTTTGACTTGGGTTCCGTGTGCGCTGTTTTATGTTATTCTTTATTTATTTTACTCCCTATCTGTTAGCCAATAGAAAGCTTGGTAAATTTTGTGTTAGATATTGTTTAGGTTGGTTATATGCATTCTAGCTTTACATAACAATTTTTATGCCTCCGTTACGAAGTAGCCGGAGGCATTATGTTTTCGGGTTGTCCGTCCGTCCGTACGTCCGTACGTACGTACGTACGTACGTACGTCCCGTTCTCGTGATCGCGTTATCTGAAGAACTGGTTGATGGATTCCTGCCAAACTTTGGTCATGTATGTATCTTGTAGAGCCGATGAACTGATTAGATTTTGGGGTTACGAGGTCAAAGGTCAAAGGTCACAGGGCTCATTATGTATGCAAAACGAGCTCGTGATCGCGTTATCTGAAGAACTGGTTGATGGATTCCTGCCAAACTTTGGTCATGTATGTATCTTGTAGAGCCGATGAACTGATTAGATTTTGGGGTCACGAGGTCAAAGGTCAAAGGTCACAGGGCTCATTATGTATGCAAAACGAGCTCGTGATCGCATTATCTGAAGAACCGATTGATGGATTGCTGCCAAACTTAGGTCATGTATGTTACTTGCAAAGCCAAAAAACTGATTAGATTTTGAGGTCACGAGGTCAAAGGTCAAAGGCCACAGGGCTCATTATGTATGCAAAACGAGCTTGTGATCGCGTTATCTGAAGAACCGATTGATGGATTGCTGCCAAACTTAGGTCATGTATGTTACTTGCAGAGCCGATGAACTGATTAGATGTAGGGGTCACAAGGTCAAAGTTCAAAGATCACAGGGCACATTATGTATGCAAAAACAGCTCGTGATCGCGTTATCTCAAGAACCGATTGATGGATTCCTGCCAACTTAGGTCATGTATGTTTCTTGCAGAGCCAATGAACTGAGTAGATTCTTGGTTCATAAGGTCAAAGGTCATGGGCTCATTATGTATGCAAAAATAGCTTGTAATCACAATATTCTGAAAACCTGTTAATGGATTACAATTGAACTTGAATTTGAAAAATTTCTTCTGTTTTGGTTTGTAAAATTGCTCTATGACGGAGGCATCATTTTCGACTGCGCGCAGTCGAAGTTCCATCTAGTTTTTTTAGGTTATTGGTACACTTTCAAATCTTCAATCATGCTAATTTTCATATAATTTTGAAACTGTTTTTGTTTAGATTCTAGAAGACGAGAATGGTCAACCCTACAGCAAGGGGGATGCCTGGAGGAAGAGCGCCAAGGCCTGGGTCACGCTGAAGGATCAAGGGAAAGGTCAAGTCACGGTCAATGGAATGGAGTTTCTCAAGTATTTCACTTGGGTGCGAGTAAGGTAGGTCCACCTTCATAGTAGAGTTGTTGTGGTCTAGTGGATAAGTCACTGGACTACAGGTCATAAGGTATAGGGTTTGATTCCCCGCCACGACATGAATGTCCTTTGACATGACATTAATCTGCATCTGCTACACTCAACCCAGGTGAAGTAAATCAGTACCGAGCAGGAATTAATTCTTTGAAATGCTAGAGCATTGTAACAACAGCCATGCTAAAGCTGGGGTAATAATATTGGAGCACCAAAAGTGTCAAGTGTGAAGGACATGAGTGCTATACCACTTATCTATTCTTCTCCTTCGTCATCTCCTTCTTCTTTTCCTTCTCCTCCTACTTCCTCCTCCTCCTCTTCCTCTTGTTTTTCTCATCCTCTTTCTCCTTCTCCTCCTTCCCCCTTTTCTTCTGCTTCTTCTTCTTCTTCTCCTCCTCCTTCTCCTTCTTCTTAATAGATTAATTAAAGTGGAATCCAACCCAAATACACAACTACTCTAAAAGAAAGCAGAAAAATCAGAGAGGCAAAATGATGAAAATTGACTACCGTATGAATTTTTGAAAGTTGTAATCACTAAAAACATATGAGCACTTCAAATTGGCTAAAGCAGTAATGTAGTTAGCCTATAATCTAGGCGGAGTGCCGAGCTTTTTTCTTTGCTGCTAGACAAACCCTAAGCAGAACGTCTGATACGGCGAGACTACGAACCGTGAGTCGCGAAGCGGCTCACCGCCTATAATCACTGGTCTAGCTTTAGTCGTTTTTTTATTATCGACCATGAATCCGTGGCAGTTTTTCGTACGAAAAAACCTCATGAATATGAAATGAACTCAACCAATCAGAAACACGTATGGAGAAGAATCTATGCATATGCATATTATAAATCACGTGACATTACGTCATTTTCTTCATCCAAGATGGCGGGTAGTTCATGCGACGACGATCTTCTGCGAGAAAGTTTATCATATGCGGCCAACAAACTAGGCATTCCTAATGGAAAATTCAGAGAACTGCAGGAATCCGCTATTCGTAGCGTTATTGAAGCCGGCAGGGATATTTTTGTTGCATTACCTACTGGTTTTGGAAAGAGTGCAATATACCAAGCAATCCCCTTGTGCTGTGATTTTCTACGCGACCACGGATTCTATGATTGGTCGAACGTAACATAGGTGTACCTTATTTGGTAGGGCTGTTGAATGATTCATAGATCCGCCATTTTGAATATATATGAATATTGATTAGCTAGACCAGTGATTATAGGCGGTGAGCCGCTTCGCGACTCACGGTTCGTAGTCTCGCCGTATCAGACGTTCTGCTTAGGGTTAGTCTAGCAGCAAAGAAAAAAGCTCGGCACTCCGCCTAGATTACAGGCTATAATGTAGTTGATAGACTTAGGTCACGTTAAACATTTCTTATCCTTCTCCCTCTCTCTCTCTCTCTCTCTCTCTCCACAGAGAACAAATCCTGTTTCCTTTTAACTTCACAGAGACCTTGGGCCGGTTTGATGTGGAGTGTGAGGTGGTTGAAGGGGGCAGGACCAGTCAGGCCGGGGCTGTCCGACTTGCTATCTCGAGGGCGCTGTGTAGCTTCGTGGACCAGCAGAAGATTGAGCAGATGAGACAAGGTGAATGCACTTTTCTCTTCTTTACCATCCATTGAAACCATTTCTTATATTATAGATATATTTGATTTGATTTGATTTATTGGTTTCTGCATCTTTTTTCTTTTTTTCATCATACATTTTCATGAACATAATATGGTTTGATACAATATTTAAGTGTATATAATTTGATACAGATAATAATAATAATATTGACTGCTATGAGTGGGATAACCGTTTCTATAGGCTCAAGGGGTCGTTACATCCTGCTATGCCTTGAATATTAAAGCAGTCCATATATATTTTATATACCAAATTCACAAAATAGCCTACAAAGAATTCTTGCCTTATTACTCTTTTTCTTGAGTAAAGATTGGTTAAAACATCACAGATAATCTGAGACACTGTCAGTTAATCTTAGATGGAAAGTTGCCTGAATGTTGCGATCGATCGGGAATTGCACACACACTGTATGGTATCCGCCTCGCATAAAGAAAATTTTACACATAAACCAATGGGGATCTCAGCAAAATCTTACTATGCCCATTACCCGAGCAAAGGGCATCTGTGTCATTAACTATGACCATTACGGGGCAACGGGCACAGTTCGTTTCTTTGCGGGCATGGCTGAAATCATGACTCCAATTTCGACCAATCAGACGACTAGGTGTATTCAACATACTAAAGAGAGGTTTGTAAAACTCTCTCACTCATTCTCACTCTCTCTCTCTTTCTCTCTTTCCCTCTCTCTCTCTTACAGCGGGACTGCTCACATTAGATCCTAGGCTCAGAGAGAGGAAGAAGCCAGGGCAAGCTGGAGCCAGAAAGAAGTTCACCTGGAAGAAAAGATAACCATTGCCTTGGGTTGCTCAAGGACTTACCATGATCTTGATACTCTCCTGCTCTGTTCCTCAAATACGAGGGCAGCAGAGTTGAACACACGTCCGCTAGGTCACCACTATCTCTCTAATATGCTATGTGGGAATGTACTATCTATAGGAAACAGGCAGCAATGTGAATTCCGAATTGGACACCAGTGGAGCACTACTTAGAGGATTACTTGTTGTCCAAGCTTTGGCCTGGATTCACACCTTCCATATTGCACAGAACATACAGGCCTGCATCATGTACATTGTACGTGTATGGGTCTCTACTCTCTTTTCAGAACAAGTGGGAATTTCAGATCGATCTTGTTCATGAGCCGATTGTAGTTCATTCTTCAATTATGCAATTATGCAGAGGAAGATATACACATAACTTGTTCATATTACCTTGCATTGCTAGTATGAAAGAATCTTTGCAGAGAGAGAGAATGACCGAGTCCTAACTTCAAGATCTACAATGGCATCGCAGGATGATAAAACTAGAACAGTTCCTGTGAACTTTGATTGGCTTACAGTACCAACATGTGGTTGCCATGAGCATGAGCGGATAAAGGTCATTGTAGCACAAATTGTGAAATACACAGAGACAAAATACTGGATACGTGCTCATGAAAGTTATGTAATCATTACCGGTATTTATTCATGCACAAGCAGTGCCCTCCATGATACACAGGTGGAAGTATTCTTTAAAAAAGGGAAACAAAGGTTATTTATGTAGCACCTCCGTCGTTGTAGGAGTGATTATTTCAAAACGTACAAAGTGGGACCTCTTCATGTTTTGAAGATCTGTGGATATTCGGGTTCATTGCAGCCATGTGCTAACCGTGAACTGGTCTATTCAGACTCATTGCCTGCAGGAACCGGGTGGACCATGTATTGAGCCTATGGGAATAAAAAATTCCAATAGTCAAGGGGTTAATGACCAGAGATGATTTTGACTTTCAGATCAAAGAGAAAAAATATCCACTTTTAAAAATGAGCTCATATAAAATCAAGCTCATATAAAATCTTAATATCAAGAATTGATGATGTTTACAGAAACTTATCATGTGCAATGAGAGATACAGTCAAACCTGTCTATAGCGACTGCCCAAGGGAAACACAAAAAGTGGTCTTTTTAGACAGGTTCCTTTAGTACATGTCTCAATGAGAAACCACTTTCAAGGGAAACAACAAAGGTGGTTGTTGTAGACGGGTGGTCACTAAAGCAGGTTTGACTGTATAAGCTAGATGTCAAACTCCTGTAAAAAAAGAAAAGATGGGTAGTCATTACTCATTATATCTGGAAAAAGCAAGATAGGCTCTACCTTGTATCATAGAGTGAATGCCTATCTGGCTTTTGGCAGATATTATTGGCCGTCTATTCCTGTATCTATCAATGTGGATGCTCCTTTCTTATTGAGCATAGGGGAATCTTTGAAGAGGTGCTTCGGCCACACTGCTCCCTTTGATTAAAAGAAATTGTGAAGTGTGTAATGTATGTCATTGAAATTAAAATTTATATGAAATTGAAACAATAGTTCTGCATCTTTTGTCTTCTTTCAAACTGTTTTTATGCAAATAGCTTACCTAATACCTAAATATTGAACAAAGTAGATTGCCATTGACACTGTATAATATCATCTTCTCTGAATACGTGTAGGTTAACGGTGCCTCAAGATACTGATATATCGGCTCTAAATGAAGAAAAAAAACAGAATCTTGGAAAATTGTAATTTTACCATTCTTCTGTCAGTTTTTCATAAGGGTTGAGAAGGATGTTTTTCTAAAACAATTATTTGGCTTTTTTCTTCTTCAAGCGTTAATACACTTATAAAAATCATTTGCGAGAATTGAATAGTACAGGTACATGTTCATGTCTCTACTCTTTATAAGGTGATATTTTTCAATACAAATTTTTATGTTGATGACGGGGGATTTTAGTGATAAATATTACAGGCATCTTACAATTCATGTTAGCACTATTTTTTCCTGTTTATATTTTGTTAAAGGCATCGTCCTCATAAAAATAATGGCTTTATACACAATACACCTTTTACTGCAACATAAACATATTACACATAGAAGAGTTGTCTAGTTTTGAATGAGATACTTTCTTTATTTCATAACTGTACAATAGGCTCTCTTGATTGTTTGTATAACACATGGTAGCACAACTTCATCATAAAATGAGACAATAAATTCTCTCAAAATAGTATAAACAGCAATTGGGCACTTTTAATTAAAGCTGTGCAACTTTGCAAGTTTCCTTTATAAAAACAATTTCTATTAATTAATTTAATACCCACTGAGCAAATACTGGATATGCACTCATGGAAGCATTCTTCTTGTGAGGGCAAACAAAACGTATTCATGAAACACCTCCATCACTTTGGCAGTGATTATTCTAAAAAGCACAAAGTGGGACTTCTCCATGTTAATTGATCTGTAGTTATTCAGGGTCATTTGAACCATGTCCTTATTATGAACTGATCTATTTGAGGAGGATGAGCCTCTGTTTTTTTTTAAGAAACATGGCGTCACATAAATACTGTGAATCATCATTCAATACACGGAGAGTATGTAACGCTGAGTAATGCTTGGTGATGTACAGCATTTCAAGATTGTACATCTCAGTGATAACCGCATATTTCTTTTCTATGGTTAATAAATGTACATAAATTTCAAATACAATCAATTGTTCAATTCTAAGCACATTAAAGGTAATACAAAGTTTTGGGAAATTTTGAAAATTGGGTGGATAGTGTATCTTTACAATTTTGATATATTTGGATGCCCCTGTGGATGTATTATAAGCACTAAAAGAATTAGCCCCTAAAACACTTCTGTTTTTGAGAAATATTGAATATCAAAATTTACCTGTGCTCCGGTAAACTATGATAAATTTGCAATAGCGCCTATGGCCGTATAATGTTAGCTGCGACCGTGAAAATCTCAGAATATGTAGTTTGGATATATAATTTCCAAATGGGAATAGCTAATCGGTCGATTTTAGTCAAGAAACATTGTTTCATAGCTAAATTATTATCTTGACCTTGAGAGGGAGCTATACAACATAAAGAGTTTATTATTTATAATTTCATAACTTTAGACACGATTTCAACCGCGACAACGATCAATGTATATTGTAGGAACGCATATTCTTCCAATATGTTAATTTGAACCACATGCATGACCCCATACCAAAACTTTGTAATACCTTTAAGATGCTTTTTGTCCCAGTACCGATTTATCACAGGATAATTTGTACATATTCTCTTCCTTCCTTTATAATGTATGTCGCATACATGTATGATATCAAAGAAAAGAGAGGAACAAATACCACACTTTATATTTCAGGGCATACTCACTACAATCATGTGTATCGTATTAATACACAAGACAAAATATTAATACTGCAAGAAAAAAACTAAAACAGAAAACAATGTTTCTATAAAATAAAAAAAGAGAAAAAAATAAACAATTTAATATATGTACAATGTACATATGTATTCATCTGAAAGATGAAATTATGTTCTGCACTTTGTGCCAAAGAAATAACAGGTAGACTGCTTTATATTCTCTTCTGTTTTAATAGCATAGAGCAAGTAGAAAGATATCTGTGGAAAGGGGGGCTTATAGTTAGGGTACTTAACCCAAAGACTTTTAAAAGAGAATTGCCATAAACTTTTAAAAAAGGGTTCTTAACTATAAATATGTTTTCTTCTTTTGGTTTGTAAAAAGTTAAATCACTGAACACAAAGGTGGTCCTTGTGACTGTATGATAAGGAAATTTACCCAGAACTCTGCACATGGTATGAAGTTTTAAAAAAAAATGGGGGTAATTAGCAGCTACATTGTACTCTTATGATCTGACACCATCTTCTAAAAACTTGTTTTGATGCCAACGTAATTTTTTTTTTAAATAGCAAACAAAAAGAAAAACACACTTATTACTACATTTGAGCCTATGAAATAACTTCAGAGTACATGAGAATACTGCAAGATAAAAGATAAATTGAAATTGAATGATGAGTGCAAGCCTAATTAGTACCAACAATGCATTCAATATGAAAACACTTAATATTGCACAATTTGCTCAGAGGTTTCTACATATTGTCTTTTAAGAGCCAGAGGTTGGGTCGTCAGTTTCCATGTGCAAAGGCCATAATAATTCGCTGACACCAGACTTGGTGGAAATACCATTAATGGATGAACAAGTTTGCACACAGCAAACCCAGAGTCCTATCAAGAAATACCTCCTAGTCTCTCTGAGAGTCTTCGGTTAAGGGAAAGCAAAGCATAAAAAAAACTGAAGGCTAATCCTGGTGATTGAAAACACCTGTTCTTGGGTAAACACCCGAACGATGTCAAATATACATGCATGTAGGCCTGCATGATTTAACAATACACTTTTCGCACTAGAACCCTACTTACACCATGATTGGAAATAACCAATCTTAAAGAGAAGGTTGAGTTCTGGGAAGAGGTGAAAAATAATTTGTGAGCATTACTCATTCTTATTATGCAAGTGTGGAAGGACATCAGTTAAGACATGTTCCCTGAAAAGCATGGCTCTTCAAATGCCTTCATATTCTAAATATGCATGTAACATCGTAAAACTCAGGGGGCCGGCTTTTTATGCCACGTGTTCGTGTAGTCCCATATACATCTTTCTGTGCAAGTGTTTGTAACTTTACCAAGACTTGGCCAAATTTCTTATCATTTTGATGATTCCAGAACCTTGCAATACACACAAATTCTTATATGCTAGATGATCAACCTTTTCTGGTCGGTTCCACACCGTTTCTTTCACAATGCAATCGCATGACCAGAACTCAACTTCATCTTTAGATGTACATGCTTAATAAAAACAAAACACTCCTGATCATTTGATGCAGCAAAATTATGACCCTAAACTTGGAGCAATAGACTAGGGGCAAAGAAAAACCAACAAAATAAAAGCAAAATTGTAACACATGTGTATGAATAACTATACAATATGTAGCTATAAAGTTTTCAGCAAAAACAAAACAAAACAAATGGACAATATCATGACAACACTTTAAAACTCATGAGCTCCAAACTATGCTGGTGAAAAAAATAAATGATATGGATATATTTAGGACTACTGCATATGTCCTATTTCAACCAATACATTTTCAATACAAAAATGTATTCTTATTTCATTTTCAAAGCAGTCATCTTTAAGACTTTTTACAAAACACATTTCTAAAGGTTATGTAAAAATACCAGAACATTGTTATGTAGGTGCATGTACATGTAAGATGAGACTGTTATAGTAAACAACCCCTTACTTTGATGATCAACAAGAATTCAATCATTTCTTCCTCACCGACATGGAACTCATTATATGGGACCATTACTGGAAGACTAACCATAAT